TGACACTGAAATATTGCAGGAAAAGTATATGATAAAGACCAAATCATTATGAGGGAAGAAGTTTATGTTGCACTTGAATGGGGTGTGTGTATGGGGGGGACAAGGCTCCAATCAGTGGGATATTTTTTGACATATTTCAACCAATAGATGCATCCCTGGACATGATCACCAATCTATGCCAGAAAATTTGAAAGACAGCTAGCTACCTGGCCAATTGACTGGAAGAGGTCAACATTTTTTTCCCCCTTTCCCAAGAAAGGTGATCCAGCAGAATCCAAAAGTCAATATCATTAATATCATATGGAAGCAAAATATTGCTGAAGATCTTCTGAAAACAGCTAAAACAGTACACTAACAGAGAACCGCTAGAAATTCAATCTGGGTTTAGAAGAGGCTTTGGCACCAGAGATATCATTGCTGATCAGATGTGAAGGGAGGATGTCAAGAATGTTGCAGTTGTCTTCAGGACTAATTACTCCCTGAGAAACCTGATAGCATCAAGGGCAGCCAGGACAAAGACCAGACTAAATAATAAATCATGATAAGGCTCTGGGCCTGATCACAAAAGCCCAGACCCGATTTAATTAACTGCTCCAAGTTCTGAGAGGTACCATTTTCCCTAGCCCTCCCTGGACTTCTATTAAAAGAAACTGCCCCTAATTGCGGGTGCGCCATTTTTACTTTCTCAGCTCCTGGTCACTTGGCATCTCTCAGGCCATGCAATAAAGGCCTGTTCATTTCGTGGAACTAACTAACTTCCTTCCTTCCTTCCTTCCTTCCTTCCTTCCTTCCTCCTTCCCTCCCTCCATTCTATCTAACAAGATGGATCTTGACTGAAAGCAGAAAGTGCCAGAATAATGTGTGTGTGTGTGTGCAATATCCAAAACAAAGACAATACCAAAGATCAAATGGTGCCAAAGGTATGGAACAGCAGCTTTTCTCTATACTCCTTCCAATATATGAGACCTGGAGCAATAACTCCTCCAGTAGTACAGTAGGGAAAATGTAATCTTCTGGAATCTTATAATCACCTCTATTATTTGACTTCTTTTCATATCATTCTTTAAACACAATGAGTTTGTCTCAGGGTTATACACCAGGTCCCTTCTCTTGATCTGATCTGCTTTTCCTGCTGCTAAAATTAGGAAAGAATAGGTTTTGACCCCTTTTAATACTTTGAAGCTATTGTCTCAAGGTTGTAATTATGATGTATGGATTATGGATAATTTCCAGACTGCTATGACTGTGCTTTGATCTCCGTTTCATCTCTCACTGATCTTCTGTTCAGACCTCCCACCTTGAAGCATACAGAAGTAGGCTTATGGCAATTAGTTTTAAACTGCTGAATGCAGTGTCACAACCAACAGTGGAATCTTCTGTGGTGAATCTGCTCATTAATGTCTGCCCTCATATGCATCCAGAAATCATGCCATAGCTGTCAGACCCTACACCTCCACTCACCTCAACACAGGCTAGGGACTATTGCTGTAATTGTGATCCAGGATAGATCTCTTCCTCTATTCCATCTACATCTTTGTTTTATGTTAGAAGCACTTAAGAATAAAACTTCCATTAGAGGTGTGTGTGTGGTCTCTCTGTGTGACTGAGGTTACCGAAAAGGAAAATACAATTAGTTTTGGCAAAACCATCACTGTTACTAGCTATTTAGGGAACTCTACAAAGGATGCAACAGAAGAAATATAGCCTCATGCCTTTTTAAAAAGAGCTCAGTGAATAATCAAAAAGTTTCGAATTTGAACCCACCAACCACGCCGTGGAAGAAAGATGCGGAGTATTCTGCTTCTGTGATGACATACGGCCTTGGAAACCCCTAGTAGTTCCTACTCTATCCTCAGTGGTCACCACGAGCTGGAATTGAGTCAAAAGGTAGAAGGCTTGCATTTGGTGTTGAGTGTATTTTTAAACTCAGAATTTTTAAAGCTTAGCACTATGACTATATGGTTCTTTTTTTGTTGTTGGTTCAGTCATTTTTTTAAAAAATTTTAGTTGAGATTTTAATGAAAGTTTATAGAGAACTTGGATTGCCATTATTCATTGTTGCACATTTTTCTTCCTGCCCTCCCCCACCGCAGTTTGCTTTTCTCCTTGAAAAAAAAAATCTTTTTTTTGTTGTAAAACTTGCCCCCTCCCCAGTCCACTTTTACTATGATGCTCTTATTCAGGACTGTGGTCATGCAAATAATACCTAATCATATATACTTTAAAACAGTTCTCTCCTCATCTTTTTCAATGTAGTGTATGTTATTTATCCCCTTTTTTCTTAGTTTCCCCCCAAACCCAATGTCAGTCCTGTTTTATAACAGTGGCATTATGCAATATTTGTCATTTTGTGATTGAGATATTTCACTCAGCATAATGTCTTCCAGGGTAATCCATTTTGTATAACTCATGAGTTCCTTGTTTTTGAGTGCTGCATAGTATTCCATTGTGTGAATATATACGTGCATTCATTTGTTGATGGGCACTTGGGTTGTTTCCATCTCTTTGCTGTTGCGAACAACATAGCAATAAATATGGGTGTGCATATATCTGTTTCGGTGGCAGTTCTGACTTCTTTAGGGTATATTCCCAGTAGTGGAATTGCTGGGTCAAATGGTATTTCTGTTTCCAACTTTTTGAGAAAGTGCCATACTGCCTTCCAGAGTGGTTGCACCATTTTACACTCCCACCAACAGTTTCAATTTTTCCACAACTTCACCAGCATTTGTTGTTTTCTGCTCTGCTGAGTTTTGCAGATGATATATGATAGTTATTTTTATTTGTATCTCTCTTAGAGCTAGGAATTTTGAACACTTCTTCGTGTGTTTGTTGGTTGTCTTTTCATATCCTGTGTCCATTTTGCGATTGGGGGGTTTACCTTTATCTTGTTGTGGTGACTATATAGTTTTATGAATGGTCTGGAATTTATACTGATTACCTAATAGAATGCTCTTCAAAAGACACCATCAAAATGGAGCAGATAAAAAAAAATGTTCCCTGATGCCCTGACTTTAAAGAACTAGTAAAAAATAAAAATCATTAACAAAAAAATCCTAAAATGTTTTCCTTTCAAACTAAAAGCTTGTGTTAGTCTTTGGTTAGTCGAGTACTTATTATAACCCTCCTGAGAGGCCTTGGCATCCTGGTTTAGAGATCAAGCACTGCTTCCAGTCAGAATTCCATCTGTGCTATTTGCTGACTTTGTGTTGTTGGCCCAATTTCTCTGCGAACTTTGGTTTCCTTATATGTAAAATGATTGTAAAAACAGAAATTGCCACACAGGATTGTTACAATCTAAATATTACACTCAAAATATTAAACAGTACCTGACGCTGCTCTTTCAACATTGTGAAAAAGGTAAAATATCTAATAGTGTAGGAAATTCTTAAAATAAAACTGTATAAAAAAAATAAAACTGTATTTGGCTAAATTAAGTTTTACTTGAGTACATCTTATCTCTAACCGGCGGCATAGAAAGACAGAGAACATGGATTCTTATGGGTAGGACACAAGCCCCTCACTCTGTATCAGAACTACCTTAGTAGAAAGGATTTGAGGAGGCTTCTCTGTCGACAAAGCTACACTAACCGTTTCATGTTCTGTATTGTGCCTTACAGAATGCAAAGCCTTGCAAATAGATCGCTGTTAGTAGTCTTCCAACTGGCTTCTATCCAAATAGCATGTAAAACAGATATCGTCATTATCTTAATTATATTTGAGTCCATTGTTGCAGCTGTTCTGCTAATTCATTTCATCGGTTTCCCCTGACTCTTTAGACACTGTTGTTTTTATGTGCCATCGATTTGGAACTGATTCACAGCTGACCCTTCTATAGGTTTTTAGAGGCCGCAAACTGCACGGGAGGAAATTACCCATCTCTTACAGAGCAGAAAGTGGATTCAAACTGCTTGCCTTCTGATTGGCAGTACCGCTCCTTTAACACCAGGGCTGCCAGAGGAAGTTTGTCCTCATTTTTAAATGGTTTTCCCACCAACGAGGTCTTGTGGAGCATTAAGTTAAGCTTCGCCTGCTAACCACAATGTCATTGCCAAGTGACAGCCTGCTCAGAGGGAAAAAGATAAGAGACTGCCTTCTTAAGGATTCATGGGCTTGCTCTGATGGCCTAGTGGTAAAAAGCTGTATTGCAATACCAAAGGTATGCGGTTCGAATCCACCACCTGCTTTGCGGGAGAAAGATGGGCGATCTTCTCCCATGCAATTGTCTCTGAAAACCCACTGGACGGTCAGCTGTGGGATGGTTCCAACTCAATTGCACACAACAAACCCTGTGGAAAGAGCCCTGGTAGTGTAACGTGTAATATATTGGGCTGCTAACTGGAAGGGTTGGTGCTTTGAATCTAGTAGCCCTTCAGTGGGAAAAAAAGAAGTGCAGTCTCCTTGAGAATGTACACGGCAGGACCGCTGAGTTGCAATCTACAAAACAGCATAGAGTATGTGCCCTACGGAGTAGATCTACTCCGTCCTAAAGAGGTTCTTCTGAGTTGGAATCTAGTCCGCTAGTAGGAAACCCGGGACCCCTTATTTAGGTGCTACGTAGCTGGGCCTCTGCCAGCTCCAAACTCTTATTTCCATTTATATAAATATACCCGTCTCCTTTCCTTACTTATCCCATATCAACGCCCTCAGGCTTCTCCCTGTACTCTGGTCTGCGAGCCCTGCACAGCCCCTCGCACACAACAACCGAAACAACCTTTACGCGGGACATTAGCCTCCAGCCTCCGGGAACCCACCGTCCACTGCGCATGCTCCGCGCAGGCGGGTGGGCTCGCCAGGCGGGCGTGGCGCTGACGCACACGGCTGGGG